TCCAGAGTAAAAGCACGTAAGGTAAATCTGCCCGCATCTTCAACAGTGAGGAACAGCCGTGCTCGAGTGAATGCAATAGAAAAATAAAAATATCGGTAGGTAATATTTATTGAGTACTTATTATATACACAAAAGTCCCTGGGTGGCACAAATGGTTTGCACTTAACTACTAACCTAATGTTGGTGGTTCAAACCCACCCAGAAGAGCTGTGAAAGAAAGGTCTGGCAATCTGCTTCTGCAAGGATTACAGCCAAGAAAATCCTGTGGAGCAGTTCTACTGTGTAACATATGGGATCTCCATGAGTTGGAATCAGCTGGACGACAACAGATTTGGGATTTTTGGTCTTTTTGGTTTTTATTATATATGCAGCATTTTAAATAGCTCATTTAATCTTAGCAACTACCCTATGAAGTGAATTCTATTACAGATTAGTAAACTGAGGCATAGAGAGTTAAGCAATTTTCCGATGATAAATTAATGCAGAAGCTGGGATTTAGAGTTAATTTCCCAAGCTGGCCTTGATTAAGTTCAAGTCCTCAGGTTCTGTGTTCACATATTCACATACACTTATACATGCGAGACATGTGCAGTAATAATACTAACAACAGTAGTTAATCCAGCTTATTGCCACTTACAACATACTTCCATACCCTTCTTTCATTCAGTCTAAGGTCGTCAGGTACTGGTGGCACCACTTTGTAGATGAGGAAACGGAATTTCAGTCAACCGTCTCTCGAGCTCTTTTAAGGTAATGAGTCAGAACTTTAAGCTGCCCAGAGCACAGCAGGTCTCGGGGTGGGGGCTCTGCCCCCCTGGGCCGGATCAGGCTGTGACACAGCGTTAGCACGCGGGTGTGCACGGGCATGTATATGGCTTTCAGCTTTAAAAGCTCATCTCCCTCCATGGCTAAACCAGGCCTAGTGAGATGTAGATACATAAATATCTTCTTTACACCCTGTCCCAGGGGAAAGATAGAACCAAATAAATCCGATTAACTTCCCAGGATGCTGGCTGCTCTCTCTCTTTGAAGTCCAGTGGGTGAAGATAATGCCATTTCCACATGGGAGAAGTCATTTCAAAGGGCTGAAGAGTCCCCAGCGCAGAATGCTGGCCACGCACAGCTGCACAGAGTGGGCGCTGGACCCCAGGACTCCCAAGGCTCTGAAGCCAGGGTCCCTGTCCCCCGTAGCCACGTCCGCTCCTCCCCAGCCATCCCACCCTGGGGCATTCCCAGACAGGACACCTACTCGTCTTGGTTCAACTAAGATTGTTGCTAACGAGGTGATCCTGGTTGCCAGTGGCCTAGAGGCAGAGGAGGAATAAGATGACCTAAAGAGATTGTTCCTAATCAGCAGACTGTGAGGATCGGCAGCAGGAATGAGTGTCTTAAGGATGTTAAAAGCAGTCTTAACATTCTGCAAGGAATAGCATATTGCATTTTTTTGCTTTCTGGTTACTAGGACAGGAACTGAATGTGTGTATGCTTGCGCATGTGTGCCCGTGTGTGTGTGTGTGTGTGTGTGTGTGTGTGTACTCACAGAAGCAAACAGGCTGAAAGTGGCCTGATAGTACCCTGATGAAACCAGTCACTTTCGGCAAGCCTCAGAGGTATCGAAATTCCAACAACTTGGCAGTATTTGGGGCTGGCAGCTCTCCTGCACCTGTCTTCAGCCCCTACCACGGCCATTTCCACCCAAGACTCTCTGCTTCCTAATTAGTATATTCATCAGAACCATCTCACAACCCAAAGGGTCCATATCTTCCCCTATTTCCCAAGGAGAGCTTGTCTCTAGGACACCAGCATTTTTTTTCCTTTGCCTTAAAGACTGGCTGCGAGGAATAGCCAAATAATCACAAAGGCATATTGGGGCAAGCTGGTGGCCTGTGTAGGCATTTGGGGAGACTTTAGTCATTGTCTTTAAAAGTAGCTCCAAATTGTCTGAAACAGCAGTCCATGGGAAATTTTTCTAAAATTCTAGACTCTCTTTAAAAAAAAAAACTTAAAAGAGTGCCCCTAAAATCTACTCATGATCCTGTGAGGCTCATTGATAGACTGGACCACAAAATAGATGAGGATGGAGATACATCTATACAGGGGTGGTCAGGGATGCACACGTTACTTCCCAAAACCACATCTTTAAGACCCTGCTACTGAAATTTGAATTTGTTGTCTGAACTCATTAGAACTGAAAAACAGCTGGTCAACATTCACAATATATTAACTGGCTCAGAGTCTGAAAATCTCTCTCTCATACACACACACACACACACACACACACACACACACACACACCCCCACACCATTATACCTCAGCCTTATTTCTAGTCTAAATTTAAATTCTAGTTTATTGGCCTGGATGGGGATTTTTCTAGTCACTAATAGGAGGTGGTATCTCCTTTCCATAGGATGCCTGGGTTTGCCTCACGTGTGGTGTTTGGGTTTGTTTGTTTGTGTTTTGTTTTGTCTTGTTTTGCTGGACTATCGGTATATGGAAGCCTCCATCAGGAGTGCTCCCAGGGAAAGAAAGTGAAAGTGCAGTAAAGAGCCAGTTTACTCATGGGCAGCTTGAGTGGCTGGCTCCTGAGCAGGGACCCATCTGTTCTGGGGTTCCTCATGGCGTTGTCTGTAGTGGAAGCCCTGCCTGGCTCGGGGTCGTCACACGCAGCTGACCCACGAGCAGAGGGATGGCATCAGTGGCCCCAAAGGTCCACCCAGGCCCTCCTAGGAAATTTCTTCTGGACCTAATTTTTCATAAATCCTCAGGATCCTTGATAGATTTAGACATGCTAAGTTCGTAATCATGCAACTCCAGAAACAATGATCATCTCCAACCCCAGCTTTTGGGATCAAACTTCTTCTCTAGTCTTGTGATGTCCCAAGGGCAGGGCTTGACAGTCATCTCTAAAGAATCTAGAAAGTTGGAGCTAGAAGGAAACTTAGAGATCTTTTAGTCCATTGCTTCATTTTCTAATTTTCCATTTCCCCTCCACAAACAATAACCAAGTATCTGCTATACACATGGCACTGGGCTAAAGACTGAGGACATGGGGAAGAATAACCTAGAACCTAACCCTCAAGGAGCTCTCAGCCCAGTGAGGACAAGCAAGTCAACAAGAAATGGCAGTTCTGTGGGCTAAATGTGATCATGGCACAATGTGCAAAAGCCACCCTGAAGGTGAGGGCAGGGGAAGAGGGGCCAGGGAAAGCTTTCCAGCAAGGTGACGCTGAGGCTGATTCAGAGATAATCAGCTCAGAAAGGGTTGAGACAGGACAGGGGCCAGGAGGAAGAGAGAGGGAAGGAGGTAGGGGAGAGTGTTTCTGGCAGAGGGAAACAGCATGTTCTAAGGAACGGAAGTGGGTAAGTAAGGGAGACCCCACTTCCCAGTTGCCGTGGAGTCAACTCATGGTAGAACTGTGCTCCATAGGGTTTTCAAGGACTGATTTTTCAGAAGTAGATCTCCAGGCCTTGCTTCCAAGGCACCTCTAGGTGGACTGAAACTGCCAACCTCTCAGTTAGCAGCTGAATGCATTAACCATTTGAACCACCTAGGGGCTCCAGCAAGGGAGATGGCACCTCAGAACTAAGCATAAACTCAGTATGGCTGGACAACTAGGTAAAGGAACAGCGGGGGTCAGAGGCAGGCAGGGTCAGATCGTGAACGGCTTGCAACTGAGGCCAAGAGACGAGAAGCGAGTGCCTGAGGCCATCCTGTGAGTAGGAGGCCTACAGACTGCTCCATTGCTCAACGCTACCTATGTTATACAAGTTTTCTTTACAGGGGTTGCCTCTGGCCTTAAACCCAAAAGACCAAACCAATTGCCATCAAGTGGATTCCGACTCATAGCAACCTTATAGAACAGAGTAGAACTGCCCCATAGGGTTTCCAAGGAGCTGCTGGTGGATTTGAACTGCCAGTCTTTTGGTTAGCAGCCAAGCTCTCAACCACTGTGCCACCAGGGCCTCTGGCATTAGGAGGAGGACAGTTTTTTTTATTTCTTGCAGGAAGTAGCAATCCTGGCACTCAGGCCCTAAATGCCATTAGCACCTTCTGCCTGCATTGGAACAACATCCACCCCACATATTCCCCACACCCTCTCCCAGGCACAGGGAGGAGAGGGGAGAGAGGAGTCTCCTGTAAGAATCTCCCTGGAGAGAGGAAACAATTCCATGTGGAGGTGGTTTCCACATCCTCGCTGCCAGGGGTCACGAGGCTTGGTCTTCCCCAGGGGAGAGGGAGAAAACGGACAACAGCCAATGGCAGGGGTTGGAGCTGTGGGAGCTGGTAATTTGACTTCCGGAAGGGAGCAGCATCTAGGAATAGAACTGAGTAAAATCAGTCTTTCTTACTTTCTCTCTCTCGGTCCTAATGATAGCCCCTCCCTATCAAGACTTTCTTTTTGGGGGTTTTGTTTTCCAAAGCAACATGGCATTCATGCAGGGCCTGGTAATGAAATGAGATAAAAAGGCAGAGCAAGTGTTTAGAGCACTGCTGGGAGGGCTTGATCAACCTCCTGGAAAGCCCCGCACAGTCGGAGCTGGGAAGCTGACGCTGCCGATAACAGGACGCTTCAAGCACCGGACGATGCAAGGGGCAGAGCAGCTGGAGCTGGGTAACGAGATGAAACCGAGAGCCGGGGGCTCCAGGGTTGGGGACCGCGACACACGGAGGCTCTTTTATCCTGTATCTCAGAAGATAAACATCCACAGCCTGCCACACTCGTGCTTTAAAATTAACTCCTCAACTGTAGCATGCACACCAGATACAGAACAACTGCGGGATACCAGTGATAATATCCAAGCCTCGGGAGCTAAGTGATAGGTTTCATTTTCCTGGCTGACTCCACGTGGCTCTTAAATGCAGTAGTGTCCTTCTCATGGGTAGCCCACCTGCACACAGAGGGGCTGGCCTAGCATCCGGGTCCCGCCCCTGCCCTGGCTCAGGTGAGTAGGAAAGTATGAGCCAAGGACAGAGAGAGCCTCTCTGCTTGCTCCGCAGGACTGTCCCCAGCTAGTGCCCACGGAAGAGATCCTGATACCTGTCGGGGAGGTAAAGCCAATCACTCTGAAGGCCCGAAACCTGCCCCAGCCTCAGTCCGGCCAGCGAGGCTATGAGTGTGTCCTCAGCATCCAAGGGGCCATCCACCGAGTCCCTGCCCTGCGCTTCAACAGCTCCAGCGTCCAGTGCCAGAACAGCTCGGTAAGAGGACTCGGGCTCGGACTCTGTCTGGACCACGGCTTTCTCTCACATCCATGGCCTCAGCCTGGCCTGCCCAAGCTTCTAGAACTTTCTGGGTCCATAGACTGACCCCACATCCCCAGACCCCTCAGCCAGAGCAGAGTGGGTTAATGTCAGAGAGGACCAAGTGCTATGAGGACCTCATGGCAGAAATTAAGAGCTTCGTGTCCTTCCCTGAAGTTTAAAGAGCACCTCTTTGCCTTTGGTGAAACTTTAGCCAGAGAGTCAGTTCTAGCCCAGATCCTGCCACCATTCAGGGTGTGCCTAACCTGGAGGGGGCTACCCAGGAGGAACACGTGGGAAGAGGCAAGCTGGAAGCAGGACAGGATGCAGTGAGGTGGGAGGTCAGAGAAGGAGGAAGCAGAGGATTTCAGGAGCAGCAAGGGTTAAACCAATGCAGAAAGCCATAAGGTGTCTAACTGTAATACTAGCCCAGAGAAGATCTTTTTATCTGCCAACTCCCTGTCTCTGACTGTGGGGGGTCAGCTCCTGCCGTGACAAAGGTGTTGAGGGAGGCTAATTCGCCTGGGAGAGATAAAGAGAATCTGGGCCTCTTATCAGGGAGCTGTCAGATTCCCAGGTCACAGGCGCTCGATAGAATTTGTAATCAGTGGAAGGCCGCCAATCACCAAGCACGAGGAGATGGCGGGATGAGAAAGGACCGGAACAAAACAAAGGGAGGAAAGGCGGCAGGAAGGGCTGGGGGCAGGAGGCTGACAGTGACATGCCCTCAAGAGCTAAGCGGCCAGGGCTGGGCCAGTCTCCATGGAGAGGATGCCCAGGGGCCTCCTTCACAGAGCACAGGGGGCTGGACCACTGAGAGGGGCAATTTCTGAAGTATGTGAAGGGCTGGCTTAAAAGTACTCTATGGGGCCAGCATGACAGAAAGTTGACTCTCAGCCACCGCTTGAGGCCTTTCACTGTAGGACTGATCAGATCTGTGCCCAGAAAGCTGTGGGTACTTTCCCTAGTGGACTCTTGACCAAAGTCGGGCTCATGTGCAGAGACAGAGGCCCACCGCAGGGTCTGGCCTCCAGAAACATATGGGTCTTCTAGAAAGACTGGACTTGGGCATGAAAAGATGCAAGCAGCTCATGGGAAGAGCTGCGTTACAGGCAGAAAACGGTGACACCAGAGGACAGAGAGGCTCAGGGATGTTTGGCAGGGAGGTCCGAGAAGATACCTGGGCAGGGGCATCTGAGCAGAACCGGAAGAATGAGCATGGGTTAAACAAGGAGGTCATAGTTAGAGGGAAGCATTCCTTATGAGTCCTTGTGAGAGGACCTTAGCAGGTGTGTTTGCAGACAGGTGAATTCAAAGACGAGTGGATGAGAAGGTTGGAGAAGTCAGTTTGGATTAGATTCTAGAAGGCCCTGAATGTCAAGCTCAGGAGCTTGCGCTGGATCCTGGTGATGTTAGTGACTGGGAGTCAGAGGACCAGCACCGTAGGGATGATTGGAGCAGCACACGGGGTTCCCCTGATCCTTCCCTGCTCCTTTCTCGGCCCAGAGGGAACGCGAGCCCTTGGTTCGTTTCCTGCTGTCGTCCCTGAGATGCCAGCAGCGTCCCTGACCCCGTGGTAGAGTCTGACTGGCCACATGCCTCTGCCCCTCTCCCGCAGTACCAGTATGACGGGATGGACATCAGCAACTTGGCCGTGGACTTTGCCGTGGTGTGGAATGGCAATTTCATCATCGACAACCCTCAGGACCTGAAAGGTAAGCGGCTACTTCAGGTGAAGTTTTGATCTTTTCTTGACCCTGGGAAAGACCGGGGCTGGAAGGATCAGAGCCGGCAGCTGCTGTGCCATGAATAATACACTCCCTCTGTCAGTGGAACTCTTCAGAGGATCCTAAAGCAACATTTGGAGCCATCAAATGAGTCCTGTTGAGAGCCCTGTTTTATTACAACCAGAGCATCTGCCAGGCAGGTGGCTGCTGGCTCATCCACCTTCTTCTTTGGCTCCTGGAGACTTTGAAGTATCTGTGGAACCTGACCCAGGAGAACAGCAGGCAGAGAAGTCCTGCCAGCTTCCCTGGAAATGGAGATATTGTTTCCAGTCAGGGTCTTGTTCCCCTGTCCTTGGCCCTGGTCACTGCACAGAGAAGGTGCCTGAGGCTGCTCTCCTGGTCCTGGGGTGGGGGGCGGTGCGGGGGGACCAGCCTACCGACTCAAGCTCCATCTGGGGAAGAGAAGCCCAGAAAGGAGAGCTGGGTTGAAGCCGGAGGGGCCCCTCATGAGGGCTGTCTTCATTCATCGTCCTAGAAACACATGTTAGCTCTTCCTTTGTGCCTGGTCGGCACTTACCTCAACACTGCAAACACCAAGATCCCGCCCCTGCTCTCAGGAATAATCAGAATAACTCAGCTTTGACAAGCATTCACTGTGGGCTAGGCGCTCCCTAAGTGAGCGTTTGAGTGTACTTTATCGTCACGACAACTCTGAGAGCTATGTCCTATTTGTTCTCATGTTATAGATGAGGAAACCGAAACCCAAAGAGGTTAAGAAGTGTGCCAAGAGTCAGTAAGAGATGGAGCAGGGCTTGAGCCAAGCCAGCCTCATCTCAGGACCCATGCTCTTTTTTTTTTTTTTTTCAATTGTGCTTTAGATGAAGGCTTACAGAGCAAATTAGTTTCTCATTAAACAATTAATACACATATTATTTTGTGACATTGGTTGCCAACCTCAACACATGTCAACACTCTCCCCTTCTCAACCTTGGGTTCCCCATTACCAGCTTTCTTGTCCCCTCCTGCCATCTAGACATTGCCCCTGGGCTGGTGTGCCCCTTTAGTCTCATTTTGTTTTATTGGCCTGTCTAACCTTTGGCTGAAGGGTCAACCTCAGGAGTGACTTCTGTACTGAGCTAAAAGGGTGTCCAGGGGCCATACTCTCGGGGTTTCTCCAGTCTCTGTCAGACCAGTAAGTCTGCTGTTTTTTTAGGTGAGTATGCATTTTGTTCTACATTTTTCTCCAGCCCTGTCCAGGACCCTCTGTTGTGATCCCTGTCAGAGCAGTCGGTGGTGGTAGCCAGGCACCATCTAGTTGTGCTGGACTCAGTCTGGTGGAGGCTGTGATCCATTAGTCCTTTGGACTAATCTTTCCCTTGTATCTTTGGTTTTCTTCATTCTTGTCAGAGCACATACTCTTAACCACATCACTGTACTGCTGCACAGGCCACTATGGGATTTGAACCCCCTTCCCCAGCCTTAATCCCTCATCCCACCCACCCCCACCCTGGTAAGAACCACAGAGCACCACATTTCAAGAAGCTAGATCTGTCAGAAGCCTCTCCTTCAGCCCGAGGGTCACTCCACAGGCACAGAGGGAGGGGCTAAGGCCATAGAAAGTCTGTAAGTCCTTCAGCATCTATGGGGCTGCAGCTCTGGGCCCCATACTGCCTCTAAAGTTGATGCTACTGAGGCTGGAAAAAGAAACTGAGCCAGGGAGTTGTTTTTTTTGTTGTTGTTTTGTGTTTTTTTTTTTCCTATCTCTCCTCATACGCAGGCCAAATTTCCTCACACTAAGAGAGGAGACATTTCCCCTGCTGAGGATCTGGGCTTAGTTCCCAGAGGTTGCCTTTGTACCTGGAGCTTAGAGAAAAACAGCCGCATCCAAGCTGTCACCTCAGAAACCTCACGGATGGCTCTCGACGGCTTGTGAGACGTTCCTTCAGTGCCTGGGCGGTGCTGTTTTCACACTTGTCTACCGCCCGGGGCCTGAGTTCCAGGGGCCGCACACTGTGATGGATAGAGAGGGCCACAGCGCTAAAGCACTCAGGTTCTGGAATCCAACAGACCAGCCTTCAAATCCTTGCCCTTCTACTTACAGCTGTGCTGACTGGCACTAGTCACCTCTCTACATCCCAGTTCCTTGTCTGTGGAATGGAGGGATGGATGCCTGCCTCACAGGGTCATCATGAGGATCAGATAAACAAATGGATATGGACCACTTGGCCCATACTGATAAATGTTTGGTGTGTCGTTGTTAATTTTAAGATTCCCAGGTTGCTGTCCTCTACCACAAGAAGCCATAGGTTTGAGGATATTTAAGTATAGTCCCTGGAGCTGGGACTGAAGGGTGTCTGACAGAGCAGAAGAAAAGGATGAGGTCCTAGGGATGAAAACAAAAACCCAGCCTCCCCTGGGGCATCCCAAAGCTTGACCACAGAGCTGAATGATGACTTGCAGAGTATTGTGCTTCTGGAGTCAGACTACTTGGGACTCTGAGTGTAAAACACCAACAGGCAAGGAACTGAGCCCCAGGCTCGCAAGCACAGCTCCACTATCGCCTTGAGGGCGCTTTTAGTCAGTAAGAGCAAAGGCCGGGGATTGCAGACTCCAAATGTGACCTCTAAGTGGCCAGTCTGTCCTCTCTGGGGACATGCTGTGCATCCATAGGGGCCGTGAGCAGGACAGTGTCATCCTCTCTCCTTCTCAGCTCTGTCTCCCTCAGTACCAGCTGCCTAACATTTCTTTAAGCCCAAGCTGACACCTCTCCACCCCCCAAAACAAACTCAGTTGGTATTAAGTCAATTCCAACTCACAGCAATCCCCTGTGCGTTAGAGTAGAACTATGCTCCATAGCGTTTTCAATGGCTGTGGTTTTTCAGAAGTAGATTGCCAGGCCTTTCTTCCGAGGCACCTCTGAATGGCTTGAACCTCCAACCTTTCAGTTAGTAGTGAGTGCTTCACCATTGCGCCACCCAGGGACTCCTCTCCTAGACCCAGGTAGTGTCCAGCATGTCAGGAAGCCTCCTCTCTCTTCTCAGGGCCCGTAATCCAGCAGCAGAGAGAGATGGCGCTTCAGGATTCCTGTTCAGCGCAATAACCGTAGCCGGCTCTGAAAGTCATCAAGCCCTTCTTTGAGCGCCACGTTTACCTGCCGTGCAAATGAGCCCTGCCTCTCGCAGTGAGGGCCAGACATGAGAGCAAGAGAGGCAGCAGCTTAAGAAAGTAGATGGTGTTCAAAGAAAAGATAATAACCACGTACAGAACATCAAATATGTAACAGGCATTGTGCTAAGCACTTAATATAAAATGTCTCATTCAAACCTCACAACAAACAATTATCAGTCCCATTTTATAGATTAGGTAAACAAGGCTCAAGGAGGTTAAATAATTTGTGACATTGCTAGGAAGTCGTGAGTCCACAATTAAAGCCCTGATCTGTTTTAATCTCGAGCCAGACTCTTGTATTATTTTCTATAGTGCCTTTAAACGACTGCCAAGAGGCTCACTTCATTATTAATTCTCCATCAATTATTCTTGCAATGATAATGGTGCTCAGTGGCATTATTCATGGTCGGGAACACTTTCCATCATGCCCGCAAGAAGCGGGCGACTCGGGAGAAGCCCTCCCCGATGCCGCCTGTGACCGCCCCTGTCTTTGCAGTCCACCTCTACAAGTGCGCAGCCCAGCGGGAGAGCTGCGGCCTCTGCCTGAAGGCCGACCGGAAGTTCGAGTGCGGCTGGTGCAGCGGCGAACGCAGATGCACCCTCCACCAGCACTGTGCCAGCCCCTCCAGCCCCTGGCTCGACTGGTCCAGCCACAATGTCAAGTGCTCCAACCCCCAGATCACCGAGGTGAGTCACCCAAGATCCCGGAGCGACAGCCAGGAGCTGACCCCGTGCTGTGGTGGGAGAGGAGTACCTGGTGCCCTTGTGGGAGAATGTGGCTAGATACATGTGTTGTGAGGGTGTGTAAAGACTCTGCGTGTGTCTCAGTGGCCCCTGCTCAGGTGTAAGTGACAAATGCACGCAAGTGCGTCTGCGTGCCTGTGCATGTAAGCGTGTCTGTGTGCACAAGCACGCCACGCAGGGCCAGGGAGCAGCCCAGCCCCTGCCAAGCCAGCTGAGCCAGGTGGGGACGAGAAATGCGCTCTGCGGTGGGTGAACATTTCAGAAAGCAAGTTTAGCTCTTCTCAGCAGAAATGTGATTTTGGGAGCTGCAGTTAGCTCAGAGTGGCGAAGTTGAAAACGGAAGAAAGTCAGGGCAGGTACGACATGAGCCACCATGCCATCTCCCAGGGTTTACTCTACACCCAAATTTGTTTGTGTGTTTTAACAGAAAGAAATAGGGAGTTAATTATCCTGGGGGGGAAAAAAGATGTTTCCTGAGTAGCAAATTGCAAAGAAAGATGAGTAGATGATATGGGTGAAATGCGGCTGCGTGGGTCTGAGAGGCCGGGAGAGGAATGGCCGGACTCAGCTCTGATTGCATTGTGCGCTCATCACTCTTCACCACTGCCTACTCCCCAGCCGTCATTTGCGCTTGGAAGCGAATGGCACGTTCCTTACGGTGCAGGGATAATGGCTGGGGCAGGTGTCTCTGCCGTCTGCACGTTGAGAAAGCCGTGAGGGCCTGTTCTTTTCTGCCTCTCCCCTGGGCGGATGCACTGTCCCTTTCCTGCTCATTTTCCCTACCGGCCAAAGACAGCAACCTGGTTCTCATCTCTGACACACACAGTACTGGGAAACTTCTAGAGTATTCCTAAAATTATATTGAAACTTCAGATCAGTTAAAAAAGACTTAGGATGAAATGAGTCTTGTCTACGTGTACCTGGTAGATGGGTCATCTGAAGAGAAGCTTGTATTCACTCACTGTGCTGTACCCGTGCTTGGGGCTGTCTCATTTGGTCCTCACGACAACCCCGGGAGCTACACATTTTCATCTCCTTTTTACAGGAGAAGAAAATGAGGCTCAGAGAAATTGAGTAATTTGCCCAAGTTCACACAGATGATGATTGACAGAGCCAATATTCAGACTCAGATTTATTTAATTATAAAACCATTTTTAAATTCTCTACAGTTTGCCCAAATAACATAAAATCATCCTTCATTTTCAGACCTCTCCCAGCTGGTATAGACCAGATAGGAGTCCCTGGGTGGTGCAAACTGAAAGGTTCAAGCCCACCCAGAGGTGTCTCAGAAGAAAGACTTGGCAATCTACTTCCAAAAAATTAGCCCTTAAAAACCCTGTGGAGCACAGTTCTACTCTGACACACATGGGATTGCCATGAGTTGGAATCGACTCCACGGCAACTGTTATTATTCTTTCTGTAGACAAGATAGATGCAGATCCATCCATACGGCCATGCGTCCCTGGGGAAGTGCAGCACCGTGGGAGAGTGTGTATGAGGTCCACATCCCAGGGGGAAGGTGTTAGGAGGGTATAGACACTGCCCCTCAAAGATTGGGCCTCCCCATCCCATTGTACTCTTTGATATGGCCAGTGACACCTACTGAATTCCTCCTCTGTCTTTATCTTGCTGGAAGAGAATGTTTGCAGGGGCTGCCGGTGGTGCCCCAGCCCCTGCCCTGAGACAGCCAGCTCCCTGATCTGCCCAGGGCTCCATGCCTTCTCTCTGATCCTGGTGATTTCTAGCAACTGCTGCCTTGAGAACGTGCATGGTTCTGTAATTCTTGCTGTGGCAGTTGTCAGTCTCTATGCCCCTGTACATCTGCAGTATGGGGGAGCTTAAATCAGGCAGGGGCTAGCCTCCATCAGCACCTCCTACCTCAACCAACCCCAGCTGCTGCCCCTGAGTCTCCACCAGGCTGGGGACCCTTCTCAGCCGCAAGGCAGGCCCGTCACTGGGAAACCTCCGCCTCGGCCCTGCTCGCTGACCGGGGACTAACAGGCTGCTCCATTCACGGAGGACACCCAAGCCACACGGAGGCTAATTAACCCCTGAGGTAATTAGGCGGTAATTGATTTTCCCAGGGAACATATCAGCAGGAGTCTGACGCCCCAAGCAGTAGTGTCTCCTGCTGGTGTTGAGAAATGGAAGAGCCTCTTTGGGGAGAGACAGATCCATGCTGTGTCCCAAGCCACTCAGGAGCACATGTGGGAGGAGACGTGCAAGACCCTCTTAGTCACTCTTGCCTGGAATCATTGTCTTTTGTTCTGCATCTTCTCCCTTCCCTGTAAAAGTCATTATTCATTTTTTTTTAACTGTTCATTTTTTGAAATAATTTCACACTGACAAAAAGGTACAAAAATAGTACAAAGAACTTTCATATACCCTTCACCCAGATGCTCCAAAATTAACATCTTACATAACCACAGCGCAATTATCAAAATTAGGAAATTTGCATTGATACGTATTACCATCTAATATGCGTGCCTTATTCCCGTTTTGCCGGTTGTCCCACTGATGTCCTTGCTCTGCTCCAGGACCCAGTCCAGGATCACATGTTGCACTTCACTGTCCTGGTCTCGTGGCCCCCCGTCTTTGTTCGTCATCTGTGACTTTGACACTGTTGAAGAGTGCTGGCCAGTTATTTTGTAGAATGTCCCTCAGTTTGGATTTGTCTGATATTTCCTCAGGATTAAATTCTGGTTATGTGTTTTTTGCAAGAAGAACTAAAAAAAAATACCGAGGGCATGTCAAAAGGCACAAACTCCCAATGGCCGAATCTTGGATAATATGAGTAACAAAATAATAATAACAATGGCCTATAGCCCATAGAATAAAATAAGAACCCACAGCCCTTATTGCTAGATACAAGTAAGTGAGTAAATTTAAAACGGGGGAGAGGGAAAGCTCTCCTTTACATGGGAATTCCAACTAGTAAATGTAGAAGGAAAATGAAAATAGAAAATCATCACTCGGTAGCTTTGTGGTAATAATTGTTTCAGGCAAGAATGATCAATGAATGCTAAAATTAGTGGAAGAAAGTATGATGAGAAACAGGTATTTCCCCACAAGATACTTATTAATTACAACAGATAAAAATAGTAACTTTACAGTGAAGAAGCCTGGTAGATACCACCTTAACCAAGTGATCAAAGTTAACATCAAAAATGGGAAAACCAGCGCCGGGTGCCTCCTGATAGGATGTCCTGAGAAGGGCACAGCCTCATTTCTACGGCAGTTTTTGCCAAAAATGCATAATCTGTTAAAAGTTACCTTTTTGTTGTTGTTAAAAGTTACTTTTAAGAACCATCAACTCATTTGCTTTTTCTCAGTGTTCTCAACTAATTCCTGGACATTGGCACAGATTTTTGCCAATTCAACCTTTTTCACATGTACAGTTCAGTGACACCCATTACATTAATCACGTTATCAACCATCACCAGTATCCGCTGCCAAGTTGCCACCACCATAAACAGAAGCTCAGTGCTGCCCGAACAGTGAGCCTTTCCCTCCCTCCTGCCTGTGTAATCGATCACTAACAGAATCTGGTCTCCATATACATTCACCTATTCTAGCCATTTCGTATGAGTGAGATCTTTCTCTTAAACCATGTTAAATCATTGGAATTCTGTGAGGTATCCCGCCACACCCTCTTATACACACTTCCTTGCCTCTAGCCCTTATCTTCAAAATGTGTTACCCCCATCAGTACAAGCCCCAAAACAAACAAAAGCCATTGACTACACAGATCCTTCCTGAGAGGCGACTGGAGGACTCAGTGATGACCTGTGATGGCTGCTGGGGTGGCAGAATTTCCAGTCCTGGAAATAGCTGGGGGCTAGAATGGGAGCTGTGTTGCCTGTGGTCAGGGAAATAAATACGATGACCTCCAGAGAGCTCTACTTTAGGAAAAGGAGTGGGCTGAAGCTTAGCTGGATGAACAGCTGTGTTCTTCCTTAACCCCTCCCTACCCTGCTGTCTCCATGGCAACCGAGCCCACCCCTAGAGACCCATCTTTTATGGCAGCTTCGTGTAGGACAAGTTGTACAGCCTATCGAATTTCCCAGTTTGCATAAACTTCAGGTTAGGACCCCCTCAGCACTCACCGTCTGCTCCTTCTCAGCCGGCTCTGGTGTGATAATGACGTTGTCCCCTGTGGGAAGTATCCCAGGCTGTTCCCATTCCAGCTGTCATCCCGGGCGTGTGTGCACATGTCACCTGCTCAACCCTGGGAACAGGAAGAGTGCAGAGGACTGGAAAGCCCATGCTGGCCTGGCCCACCACATTTCTGCTCTCCCCAGCCTGTGCTTCAGGACCTGCTGGGCCCTCAAAGAGGAGGATGCTGGGAGCCACCCACTAGAATGGAGGGTGCAGAGAAAACACTTCCCAAGAAGCAATGAGCAGGCAGGACCCAGCAGGAACGAGAGAAGCTTGAACGTGCTCTTGCAAAGAGGAACTTGGGGAGGGTATAGGGACTTTGGAGCTAATATGGCAGAGGTATCTACTCTAAGTGAGCGTTCTGAGCAAAGGGAGAAGACGTCACAGTTCCAAAGAAATTGATCAGCACATTAAGCAACTATTTCATGAACAATTACTGTATACCATGCACATGCTAGGCTGGAAAATTGTCACTTGGATAGGTGAGTCCTGGGTGAGAGGCAGGGTGATACCAGCCTCTCCCAGCATAGCCGCAGGCTATTTTTGAACACTGGCAGCCTTGAAGAGGCTAGAAACCGTTTGCCCTGCCGGCCGCTCTGCTTCCTCCAAAAGTTTAAGGTGAAAACTTCTAATGTATACACCCTTTGCAGTTTTCTCCTGTATAGAAAGAGAACACTTGCAGGGAGCTAAGCCTCCATAGCTAACCAGAAAACTAACCCCAGGCCAGGGGCATGAATAGACTAAAAAAATAAATAACCAAACCCTTGCCATTGCATCAGTTCAGA